GTTTTCGATCCTTTGATTTTATTGTCTGAGCTTCTTTTGGGATTAAATAAGCTTGTTCTGTACAGCACAATGTTGAACTGTTTCTTGATCTCTTGTTCCTGTCTGTTACTTTATGTTGGGGAAGTGAGAACTTTCACAATGAGAGTTAGTACTAAAAAGTATTGACTTGTTCTTGTCGTTTCCATATTTTCTTGTTGCTAATTCCCTACCTTCTACTTAAGCTTTACCAGGTGTATTTATGATATCTGATACTTTGTCATTGTATCTAGGGTATCATGGAGATTTTTCTGTAGTGTTGCTTTGTTCATCATGAATTTCTTTAGGTTCTCCTTATCATGTAAGGATCTTATTTCTCCACCAAGTTTGAAAAATAGTCCTGCAAGATATGTCAATCTTGATTGGAAATTGCTTTCTTTTAAGACTAACACCCTTCACTGCTAGGTCTCCTGACTTTGTTTGTATTGAGCAGCCTTGTGTAATTATAATGTGTTTTCAGTTATAAGAGATTTATTGCCTTTTTCTTATAGCTTTTAAGGTTCTCTTTTTCTGTTGGGCTTCTGAGATTTTGGCTATGTTGGGAATTTGAAAAGGTTCTTTTCTTATTGTGGCTATTTGAGGTTCTATATTCCTAAATTAACTGCATGGCAAATTCTTTCAGCTTATTTAGAAAGTTTTCTGCTGTTCTTTCAGTAAACCTTTTTTTTTGTCATAGATACTATAGTCTCATTTTCACTAATAAAAATGAATCATTTTCTTTGCATAATCTATGAGCTACTGGATCCATTCTTCAAATTCTCTATTTTGATTTCTGGTCACTCTTCCTAAATGGAACCTGTGATTATTCTTACGTTTTTAAACACCCCTGTGTATTTAAGCGAATAATAGCCTATATCCAGAAGGAAGGTTTTCATGCTGACTAGTCCATCTTATCACCTGCAGCTAGCACACTAGCACTGTAAAATGTAGGGGAATAAGAATCTGAAACATAAAATATACCTAATATATTATAAAAATGAATGTTCTGTGAAAAATTCTAAAAATATCTTGTGTGCATTCTGTGTTGCTAGTAATATTCTTATAACAAAATACTTTTAAATAATTCTATTTCACTTTGTTAAAATGGAAATAACACCAAAATTGAGAGTGTAATTTTTATACTATTATAAAGTGTATAGAAATAATTGAAATTAATTATTTTCAGATATGATGAAAACAAAGAATTAAAGATTTGAATTTCTATAGTAAATTTAAATATATTTTTTATATATGGAATTTATTATTCATATAGGTTTATAGACTTCTAAAAATAATGGAAAATAAATTGCACTACTTACTACTTGGATTCACTGTTATCATTAAATTATGTCTAGTAAATTCAAACTATAGTAACTGATTTTCTAAATTTTATGCTGAATTTACCAAACTTGTATAACTATAACTAATATTACAGTATTATTTCATAAAATGCTAGTTATGTGGAAAAACATGTTATACATTAAACATATAATATTAAATAAGTTATTGGCAGGTATTAATCCAATTTTTCCAGCACCATTTATTAAAGAGGCTATCATTCTTCCAGTGAGTTTGATTGGCCCCTTTATCACAGATTAGGTGGTTGAGTGTGTTTTTGGTTGTGTCTGTTTCTTCCAGTCTGTTCCATTGATCCTCAGGCCTGTTTTTTAGCCAGTACCAGGTGGATTTTAT